AGTGTGTAAAGTGGATGATCCTTAGTTGAAGGTAGTGCCTTGTGTTGTTTGACACATTGAGTTCCACATAGATACAGTTGACATGTTGAGCAATGGTATGCTGGTTGGTTGTCACAGAAAGAGCAGTTAGGTGGTTTTTGATCCTCTGTTTTCATGACATACTCTAGTAGTTGACTTATCATTGCATTTGAAGCCAGCTTTTTTAGGTCTTCTTTCGTTAGATCATGCTGTTGGCCACATGTTGGACATTTCATCTTACCATGAGTTTCCACCCATTTCTGGATACACTGTAGACAGTAGGTGTGTGTGCATTTCAGTGTCTTTGGTTGGCTAAACCTGTTGAGGCAGATGGCACACTCAAGATCTTTTTTATCCATAAACTGTAATGCTTTGGCTACAGACATCTGTAGAGACAATATAGATACCATGGTACAGTATATTGGAATTTTTTTTTAAATAAATAATATGTGCTTAAATATTTTCTGAGTTCAAATTGCTGTACTGTGTATATTTTTATGTTGTTTTTTTTTTAAACTATATTTATAGGAGGTGCCCCTTCTAGCTTACCCTAGAGGTCACCTCATATTTAGAAGCCGCCTTGTGAATTAATTTAATGTGACGATTAATAGACTTTTACAATTTAGTCAAACTATGAGTCCTAGGTGTTAGATTGAATAAATTAATCCAAAATACAATATTAACATTTTCTGAAATTGTTATTTTGCTGTAGATATTGTTCCAAGGATTTTACGTAATCCAAGGTGTTGACTGATTGATGAGCTGCTTTGACCATAACATTAGACTTCAATCTTGCTTAATTTCAGTGGCGGACCATAGGGTAAATTGCAGGGTATGCTAAGTAGTGGCAAGAAAGGGGGGGGCCCCCCCCCCCCCCCCCTGAAAAAATAACACTTGTCCATCCCCCAGTCGCGCCCCGCCCACAGATTCTCAAATAGTTAAAATCACCTCAAATCAGCTTATTTTGCGAGTTAGCACCTCACCTAATCACCAATCCCCCACCTTCCCACCCCCATCAGCTTCCTTCTATTCAAGACCCCTATGCCACTGATGCAAGGGTCTGCTAGTTTGAAAAGTTGTAAGCCCTCTGTACAGAATCAGATTGCATTCTATAGTCAAAATACAAATGTATGTTATTTTTAATACCAGCATGGTTATAGTATCTTCTCTTAAAATGAATTCCTATTCCTGTATTTTTAAAAATTTCAATTCAAATAATAGGTCCCTATTTGTGGGAAAAAGAGCATGCACATATACTCTTGGAAGCACCGCTTCAAAATTCTGGTGTTAAATTGGCTATTCCGACGCTACCACACGTTGGTTGCCGCAATAGCAAATTAAGTGTTGTAGGGTATGCTCTGACACCCATTGACTCACTGAATACATGATTGGCTGATATTGAAAACCAGCCATGCGGAAATTCTAAGTAGCTGAGAGTACGATGCGATCGGACCAACTGTGACTTATCCTAGATACCAAAGTATTCTTTGCTATTCCAATCAACTGTAGCAATCCTCTCAAAAAATTAAGGTTTATATAGAAGATTGTGACTAAGAAATTCTAAATAAAACGGAGAAACTGTAGTACTATATACTTTTTTAAATTTGTTTTATAGCCAGGTTATGCACTTTATACCTTGTTTGCATTGACAATCAGCCACTGCTTAATATTTATAATGCAACATCCATTTCATTTTAATTTTTATTGAATTTTTTTGATTACAGTACTTGTACTGTTGATTGAGAATCATTATATTTGGATGAAACTTGGTATCGGTCACGGTGTACAGTACTTATTGGCCTAGCTAGCAACAGAGTAATATCATTATGCCCAAATATGGGTGTGATATGACTTTCATGCCCATATATGGGTAATTCACACTAATTTGTCCCTTGATAGTGTGACTCAAGCTTACTAGTGATTGCTATAGGTGTTCTGAGTTTTGTATCAATTTCTTACCTAATTGATTCAAATATTGATTGGTAGGAATGATGGTGTAACTGTTGCTATCCTAGATAAGTTGAATTTTCGCGTTTTCCAATGCTTTTCTGTAAAATACAAGATGAAATGTTGATCCAATTTTGTGTCAACAGTTTGAAGTTCAAAGCAATTGGCACCATAAACTACTTAACCATTAAGATTTAGTTTTTATCCCACAATTAAAGGAGAAGCATAAATTGAAATAATAAATAGTTCAAAATTTATTTCTAGCAAAATAAATTGTGCTTATATAATTGCACTACCTAGCTAGAAATGTACCATAGCACACACATACACGTACAGTAGGCTAGTTTTATGGGTAAGGCCTGACATACTGTTCTATATAGCATCCTAAACCATTTTAATGTGATTTTCCCTAGGGACTATTAAGCTTTGAACAAGCTTGAAAAAATTACTGTATAGAATGAACATATCCCCTATTTTATGGAATTGTCTATTGCAGTAAACCATAGTGTATAAGCCTGGGGTTGTTCTAAAATGAACTCTGAATCAGACAACCCAGATGTTGGTGATGGCTGTAAACATATCAACGTAGCAGGTTAGTTTTTTGCAGACATTATTGGCCTGACCTTGAAGAGCACATTTACTACATTATGTTAGAATTACAATATTAGTGATAAATAGAACTGCGTACCATGATTAACTGAACATCAAATATATATCCTGTATAATTATATAACTTGAAATACTTAAAAAGCAAACTTACTTGAAACTAAATGACATTCATTCACTGTAAATATGGCACACATTTAATATATAATGGGAAATGACTCATAGACAAGTTTCTAAATAAAAATCGCTGTCAAACCAACTTGTAGTTACTAGTTGTGCTATTAAAGAAGCTTTTATGTACAGTAGGTTTGAAAAATCACTACAAATATCAATACTTAAATATTACTGTAGTTCGGTTTAAAATGACTTTTGAAAATATTTTCTAGCTGTATAAAAAGTATTGAAATATAAGTAAAGAGACAAACCCTAAAATGCTTGTGACACTGCTTTAATTATATGGATTACAAGTCTTAAGTAGACATCTAAAAGAGTGAAAAAAAATTTGCACCAACCAGGACTTGCTGGCACTTCTGTTGTATCAGGGGTAGCGCCAGCGTTTGGGCTAGCTTGGGCAGAGCCTGGCCCAGCCATCAGGTACGTACGTAGTTGCAGTAAAATCTGTCAGCGATCAATTATAATAATTTTCTAAACCAGAGAAAGCTGGTCCGATCGAGAATGCCATTTTCGGGCATCAGAGATGACAAACCTAAAATGTTTTACCCTGAGCTCCAACCATCGTGGGGCTGAGGTGGGAGCAGCCCATTTGTGGGAGAACACTGGGCCATCTGTTGGGGAAAAGATGTTGCCGCCACTGGTATGTACAGAAAAAGATATGCATAGTTTAATTAATAGTATACACAATATATATAATCAGTATTTTCTATATAATATGTTTACTGTGTATGTTAATGTAGCATAGTTTTCAGTTGTGTCTAAATCTTTTATGTAGAATATGTATTTTACACAGATACTTGAACAGCAATTGAGACAAATTAATGGTGACTTAAATATATGTTATATAAACATGCTGTTCATAATTAGACAAAAATATCATGAGCCACAACATGGAAGAATCCATGCCCACACTGTGTCATTCCAGCAATGGAAGAAAGTTTCATATATGTTCTTATTTTAAAAAATGATCCCAGTGCAAAACTTCAGTATTAAAATGCAATAGCAAATAAATGAAATTGTATTAACAAATCTATATTTTTGCGTGCATATATGTTACTGTAATGTATGTTTGTGTAGCACTGTAGGGTCTGTTGATATAGTATTATCAAGTTTTCTATGAGACTGTTTAGTTTATGGAGGGTCATAATCGAAATGCACTTTTTATTGCTTATGTTTTGAGTCATTTCAACCAAATAAAGTAAATGTAGTTTGAATTTTTGTGACTTCGCTGATTTCCGGTGTGATTTAGACAATCTTCGTGCGCTGATTTCATAGTGCAATTGATGTGTGATGCTCAATCCAGTTTTCCTAGGAACCTCTTCTTTCATGTTGTTACGTAGTTTAGCGTCCCTAGTAATTCTATTAATAATGGTGAATATTTACTGAAACTAATAGAGCCACTCCTGAAACTTTATCGGGTATTATAATAACCCTGGAGTATCGGTCCCCAACCAATACATGGGAATCAAATTGAGGACTTGGTCAGATTGGAAAGAGAAGTAAGAGAGGAGAAAACCTGAGAAGGAAGAAAGGTATGGGTGTGAGCATGTGTCCATATGTAGGATAAACATATTTCTTCTTTATTATTTTTGTTGGTGTGATTTTTAGTTACTATGTATCATCATCGTCTTCTAGCAATACGTTTCACATACTAATGTTAGATTGATTGATTGATTGGCTAATTGATTTATTGACACAATGGTTCTGATTCCTGACTATTTATGAAAGTGGTATCTATTATCTAATATTTTGTAAACTAATATTAGATTGATCGATAGATTTGTTAATTGATTTATTGATGGATTGATTACTGGATTGTTTGATTGATTGTAAAGACTCAAAATCTTTGAATAATTTGTTTATCTTCTGTTGTTTAGAGCCAACATGAAGAGGTCAAATGAACCCCTGTTCAACAAGGTAGGGAGTAAAATAAGGGGAGTTTTCCACAGTAATAATTCTGACAGTAACCAAGAAATGCCCATGGAACCTGAGGGAAGTCAAGTTAGTGTAATTTGTAAATCAAAATTATAATCACATTTTATTTTACTGATCTTAAATCTACTGCTACTTATACAGTACTTAGTTATATAATAAACTGTAAAATTAATTAAACACCTTTGATGTCAAACAAAAATGAACGAGGCATGATACATACATATAAATAATCAATATTTTATCCTTTAAAAATCAATATAATAAAAATGCAAACATTTGTAAATCAGTAACACAATGACCTGATGAAATTGTAATGCTGTTTCTGGGCAGGGGTAAAGGTCAAAGGGTAAAGGTTCAAACTTGAAGTGTCATTTGTTAAATAGCATATGTGTGTCGCCATTGACTATGGCAGCCATAGAAAGGTGCTTAGTCATCCTTCCATCGTTTTTTAAATTTGCACACCATGAGTATAATGGTCCCACTGGATAAATCAAGATCCAATGTTATCTTTTCGTCTTTCTCTTTCCTCCAATTAAGTCAAGGCATGGGAACCATTGACATGCTGTGGGATGATGATGAGCCGTGTGGACCAGAGAATATAGCATCGCCAAATCAGAACCTAACTGCATGGCATATTGAGATACCAGGGCTGTGGTACACATCGAGGGGAACAAGGACGTGTTCATGTATATTATTAAAGTTCAGCGAATCGACATACAGGCTGAACAAGGAGCAGAAACAGCATGGGAATAGAGAGGTAAATCATTACTTTCATTATCTTTTATGAGGGTTTGTCTTATTAGAGGTGACAACACATGTTCTCTCACTAGATTACTCTTTTTTTTCTATTGTCTCCAGTGTTAAGCCAAATAAAATAACAAGATTTTAAAAATCTCTACTACTGCTACTACTACTACACTACAACTCTTATTACCATCACAGGGATGTCCAAACCATGGAAAAGGCATAATCATCATAACAGAAAGTTTTAAAAAAGTAGAAATTTCTTAATTTAAGGACCAAAGGCATTTGAAAGAATACAGTAAAAGCTCAGATATGAAACCTAAATCCAAATAAATTTTAAATCCAAATAAATTTTAATATACTTTGTATTTCTTTTTAAGCTTTTAACAAGTATTAGTTTGTAAATAAGTATATTTTACTTATTATTCTCTCTGTAAATATCATACAATTCAGCCTCTGGGCCACAATTTGGCTTTTTAAATAAAATTTTAAATATGCGATGATTGATTATCAGGGCTCGATTTAGTACTAGCCCGGCGTACAATGTCTAGTAAAAACCGCTCCGGGCTAGCCTATTTACTCCTCATGTTGCCCGGTTGTCTAGTGGAGAATTAGCAAGAAAAACATTTTCTTTAAAAAAAAAATTTTAAAAAGCGGAACTGTCGAGACTATCCCTGCACAGGAGGTACCGCAGCCCAGCGAGTACACTCTCTAGCCAAGGTAATTCAACAAAAGGACGCACATCTCGGAACATCAAAGGTTATAACTCTGGCATCGACATTCTAGGCGCACGTGCGTCCCTATACGCTGAACGACACAAAAACCATAGCAACCAGACCATAAACCGTCAGCGTACGTGATGATTTACCCACGCGCGTGTTAGTTGCCATGTTAGTCGCGCGTCGTGCGGTGATTACAAAGGCCTAATGATATTTTGCACTAACATTAGACTGAAGTATATTCTTCATTTCAACATTAATTTTACCAAAATTGTGGTGAATTGTCGTTCAT